AAAAAAAAAAAAAGAAAAAAATCCTGGGCCAGCAGACTGAGGCCTCCCCTGCCCTCTCTGAAGCCAGTTAGGAGCCACAGGCCTCTGGCTCCCTACCAACTGCCACTTTGCCCATATCCAGGGCGACACTCCCCGGCAGCGGGCAGAGAAGGCTCAGGACACAGAGCTGGCTGCCTACCTGGAGAACCGGCAGCACTACCAGATGATCCAGCGGGAGGACCAAGAGACTGCTGTGTAGCTGGGAGGCGCAGGAGGGACATAAGGGCCAGAGGATGAGCTCTACTCGCCCACCTCACTGCCACATTCCAGTTTGACCACACCAGGGCAGACCCATGCCCCAGGGAAGGAGCCCTGTGCTGCCTCCTAAGGAGCTGCCCAGACCTAGGGCTGGACTCTGAGGAGCTAGGGGTCTCCCCTGTCCCCCTGAAGCCCCAGCCGGACCAGAGGCCCACAGGGAAACAGGAAATGGCTGGGGCTGGACAGGTGTTTGGAGGGGACCAGGGCAGGGTCACTTCAGGGCGCCCTCTCCCGCCTGACCCTCCTGCCCCAGAGCTCCTCCTGGAAACTCTGAGCCCACTGCATCTGCCCCGCTTGACACCCACCTCTTGACCCTCCCCACTACCCAGATATTTCCTCCCGGACTGTGGGGCCTGGGGTGGGGGTATGGGGCTCTCATGGTGACATGTTTACAGCTGGGTGTGACTCAGTAAAGTGGATTTTTTTCCTTTCTGCTCTTCTTTTCGGGGAGAGGTCTTCCTGAAGCAGCCGGGGCTGCTCGGTTATCCTTACAGTGGGGGACAGGACACGAGGCCCTGGAGACTTTTCCCGTGGGGGGTGCCCAGGGCCTGCATGGCTCCTGACCTCTGCCTGGCCGCCTCCGTTGGGACTGGGGGCGGAGCCAATTTCCTCCGGCTTCCCGCTTCCCGCGGGGACGATAACAATGAAAGTGAAAGAGAGGTGGAGTGGGGGCAAGACCTGTCGGTGGGCCACTAGCCCTGTGGCCTTGAGCACACCCCTTACCCCAGGCCTCGGCTGTTTGTGGGGGCCAAGTGAGATGGGGCCTCAGGCTCAGGGTCAGAGGTTGGGCATTTCAGCCGCCAGCGAGATCAGGTCTGGAACTTCTCGGACGGCTTTTTCCGTCTCCAAGCTTCACCCATTCCAGGCCGCGGGCTCTTCCTGCCCCACACCTCCCGCCGTTCTCCATCCTGCGCTCCGAGAAAAGCGCTAGTGCCCTGTGCAACCCTACTCCAGCCCGCGGCCTTCTCCAAGGCTCCCGGTCCCAGGCTCCCCCAACACAGCAGAGCACCTCCCTGCCCACTGGATGCAACGTCTGGTTGCGGGGGCCGGTGTTCCTTCGCTCCCGCCTACTGAGGGACCGAGTAGGACGTGGAAGGTGGCGCGAGGCCCCGACGGGGTGAGACAGCCACCACAGGCTCGCGGGCGCTGGGCCTGTGACTCGCCGGGTCTCCGCACCCTCCTCATGCCCATCAAAGTCTCCGCGACAGGCAAGGGGAGGTGTGGCCCAAGAATTGCCCAGGCCGCTGAGGTCTTCGGGGAAAGGGACAGCCTAGGACGCGGACAGAGGGCGGGGGCTGGGGGAGCCCAAGATTGGGCCAAGGGAAGCGTGTGCTGAGGAGGGACGGAAGCCTGGGCCTAGGAAAGTTGTGCTCAGAAGATGGACCGCCGGGAGAGCCCAGGTCCTGAGAGCATAGGGCACCGGCGGGGCTAGACGCGGGTGCGAGGACAGACGCGGGGAGGCCAGAGCAGAAGCGCTGGGGGCGGAGGCGGGGACACCCGGGTCGGGGGGCGGCGCGGGTTTAGGGGAGGGGGCGGGGCAGGCCAGGCCTGGGATGGGGGGCGGAGAAGGGGCGGGGGCCCATGTGACCGGCTCAGACCGGTTCTGGAGACAAAAGGGGCCGCGGCGGCCGGAGCGGGACGGGCCCGGCGCGGGAGGGAGCGAAGCAGCGCGGGCAGCGAGCGAGTGAGCGCGCGGGGCGGTGGAGGGCGCGCGGCTGCTACCGACTCGGGCCTGGAGGCGGGGGTGGGGGGCTGAGCTGCGTCTGGGCTGCGGGCATCCCCCAGGAAGACACCTCCCGGCGGGGTGCCCAGACTAGCGGCGAGGGGCTGGCTCCAAGTCCTCCCACGGCTTACCCTTAGCGGTCCGACTCTTGGGCCTGGAAATGGGGCAGGGTGGGGTAGGAAGTCCAGACACGCGGCCCCCAGTGGGGAAGGGGACGGACGAGGGACTGACCTGTGCTCTCCCCCCAGGATGCAGCACCGAGGCTTCTTCCTCCTCGCCCTCTTCGCCCTCCTGGCGCTCACCTCCGCGGTGGCCAAAAAGAAAGGTGATGGGGGTGGGGGAAGCTGAGGAGGGCTGGGATGGGCAGGTGAGGCCCCAAGCTCGAAACCCCAGGAAGGCGGTCCCCAGGGAGTCTCCCTGTACCCCGCCCCGGGTTCTGAATTCTGTTCCCCACGCTTTGTAGACAAGGTGAAGAAGGGCGGCCCGGGAAGCGAGTGCGCGGAGTGGAACTGGGGGCCCTGCACCCCCAGCAGCAAGGACTGCGGCGTGGGGTTCCGCGAGGGCACCTGCGGGACCCAGACTCAGCGCAGCCGGTGCAGGGTGCCCTGCAACTGGAAAAAGGAGTTTGGAGGTGAGGTGGGGCTCAGACGGAGGGCAGGAGAACGGGCATATTCTCACGGAAACCTGGGCGGACATGTGGAGGGAGGCCGCCGCAGGCCGCCCAGCTCTGACCCAAAGGCCACTCTCTCGCCAGCCGACTGCAAGTACAAGTTTGAGAGCTGGGGGGCGTGTGACGGGGGTACAGGCACCAAAGTCCGCCAAGGCACCCTGAAGAAGGCACGCTACAATGCCCAGTGCCAGGAGACCATCCGCGTGACCAAGCCCTGCACCCCCAAGACCAAAGCCAAGGCCAAAGGTCAGAGAAGTAGAGCACGGGTGGGGTTGTCACAAAGGGCTGTCCTCCACCTGTGAGAAGAATGGTTAAACCTGAAGTTATGGGTCCTAATCAGTGACTTCTTGACATCACTCCAATCATTGTCCCTGTCTGTAGAAAAATCTTAGAGGTGAGCACATAGGTGAGGGTGGTCCACAAGAGGGTGCTCAGGAGATAAATTCTCTCTAGCTGGAGTAGTTGAGGCATTTGTCTTAAGATCCAGAGAATTGTCCTTGAAGGGCTTACCTTAGTCAGCTCTCCAGCCGGATAGAGCTATTGGTCTCCTCTGCTCTTTCTAGAATAGGAAGGGCTCCTCAGAGGGTCCCCACTGCCTCTCTTAGCTCATTCCTGACTCAGCTGAGAGAGGCTAATAGAGCAGAAGTGAATCTGCCCACCTCTCAGGTGAGGGGCCTGAGGCTAGTCAGCAAGTTGTAACCAGGACTGGGATGGGAAACTTAAAGATTTCCTGATCTCACGTGAAAATACAAAGTTGGAGGTGTCAGTGTCATAATAGTTGCCCTATCCCACCTGCTCCAGGGTCAGCTGATCAAAAACCACGGGAGGGTAGAATGTTCTTCTCTTTCTTATATGTGTGTTTGTGTAGTGGAGGTCTCTACTGGGCCACTTTAACTGCTAATGTGGTGTTTTTTCTTGTTTTACAGCCAAGAAAGGAAAGGGAAAGGACTAGAAGCCAGGCCTGGATGCCAAGAAGCCCCTGGCTTTACCTGGGGCCTGGCCTGTGTCCTCCCTGCCACAGGCTCAAGATATGACCTACCAGTGCCTTTATTCTACTTGTTAGCTTTATCAATCATGCCCCGCCTCTTCCTGCTCGCTCCCTCAAACCCAGCCCAAGTGCCCACAGTGGGGAGGCACAAGGGATTCTGGGAAGCTTGAGCCCCCACCCCCCCAAGGGATTGGTTCTCAGTATCCCCTTTTGTTCTTCCCTACAATTATGCCATTACCAAGAAACAAATAAACCAACTTCTTTTCCCAATAAAAGCTTTTCTTTTTTAATATATAAAATCCCCTTCCCAGGGAGTTTGCTGTGGAAATTTGTTTGAGGGTGGGAACTTGGGAAGAAAGATGAGACTGTAGGGACTAGTGGGTTTGTGGGGGGGGTGGGAGCTTGGTGGTGAGTGCCCCCGAGCTCATGGAAAAAGCAGAACATTTATGAAAATTCCTTCCAGGGCCCATAAAGGGTGCCCCCTTCCCCCATTAAGTCCCTAAGCCTTTCAGCCTTCCTCTCTCCCAGGGTCCACACCAGGGCTGAGGAAGGAGAACCAATGACTCACTGGAGCTGACAGTGCCCATCTTGGTCACACCCAGTCAAAGGTCTTTTGGTCCAGCCCACTGATGATCAGGAAGGTTCTGCCCACTGGGGAGTGTAGACATGGAGGCTCCTTGCCTGCCTCATTGCCCCTTATCATCACTGAAGCCTGCATGATGGCTCTCTTTACCATATTCCTCTAGCCATGTGACCCAAGTCACCTCCACCCAGCATAGGCCCATGTGGGAGAGGTTTGAGGAGGAAGAGGGCGATTGGGAACAATGCCCACTGTGTCCCTACCCTGACTTGACATGTGATCTGGGACAAGGCCCTCTTCTGGAGGAGGGGGACCTCTAGAATAAGGTGGACCATGCTTGGCTCAGCCCGGAACTGCAGAAGGCTAGACCTTAGTTTTGGACTGTGAGTTCCTGACCTCCCAGCTGCACCATCCTCAGGTGATAAGGGCAGTGCTACAAGGGACTTGGGAACCAAGCCCACTCTGCCTGGCCTTCATCAAGCTCACCCACACACCCATCCACCCAGAGCCCTGCTGAGTAGCTGCAGTGAGAGGTTTCTGCCCTGGAATGGGGTGCAGGGAGAGGGGGCTGAGCCTACATGCGGGGTGCAGGGGGAGAAAGCACCAATTACAGCAGAATGAGGGATCCCACCCTTCCATTCCCTTCCTCAGCTTCCTTCCCCAAGCACTGGCCCCTTCGCTCCTTCCAAGGAGCCCCTGGGCTTCAGCTCCCTCCAAATGTCCATTATTTCAGCTATGCTGATGGCTAGTCACAGTGGAGCAGGTGCCCAGGCAGGCCAGTGTCCCCAGCTCCCTAACGCAGGGCAACAGATGGGCTAGATGGTCCCAATTCAGAGCTGCTTAAGCCTGAGCAGAGATCTGGTCTCTGAATCCATCCAGAGCTCCTTCCTGAGCCTCACTGGGCCTCCATTCTCCTCTTCGGCAAACATGAACATGGAATGGTGCCTCCAACTCTTCTGACAGCCAGTGAGCCATGTGGTCTCCCAGCACACACATGCAACACCAGCACCTCCTAGGGCACCCCTGTTGCCTACCTGGCAGTGCCAATGTTACGATATTGGCACAGCAGCAGGTGCCGGAAGGTCTTTTTAAAGGTGGCATTGCAGAGAGCATAGCAGGCTGGGTTGATGGTGCTGTTCACGTAGCAGAGCCAGTAGCCAATAGACCACACCGTGTCAGGGATGCAGCTCTGGCAGAAGGTGTTCACCAGGACCATGACGTTATAGGGTGTCCAGGTGAGGATGAAGGCTAGCAGAATGGCAAAGATGGTCCGGGTCACCTTGCGCTCCCGGGCCGCCATCTGCCGCTTCTTTCGCACCTGATTGCGAGCAATGCTGGCAAACTTGCGGGCCACGTTGGCCGCAGGACGCATGCCAGCTGGTGTGGCAGGCACAATCTCAATGGCTGTGACACATTCGTTGCCTGTCTGCTTCGTCACAATCTGGATCTTGGACCATTTTGAAGCTGGGTTGAGGGCCCGTGGCTGCAGGGAAGGGGCAGACATGGCAGGTGTGGTGGCCTCTGTGGTCGACAGCTCTGTGGGTGGTCGCTCCTTGGTGTTCTGTGTAGCACTGCCCGAGCTGGATTCATTGGACGTGTCCTTTTCAGCCACTGGGCGTGGTGGTGGGGGCAGGGCCGGTGGAGGGGCCTCTTCCAGCTTCCCATTGCGTAACTCTTCGCGAGCAGCTTCTCCTGGTGGGGGTTTCTTGATGCTCTGCTTCATCAGGGGGCTCTTGAGGAAGGCCAAAGTCTTGGCCCTCTTCTCCTTTGGGCCTTCAGGCCGGTGCTTGTGGACTCGGCTGCGACTGGCCAGGGAGATGTGAATATAGAGCACCGTCATGATGACCACAGGAAGGTAGAAGGCAGCAATGGCTGTGCCAAAGGTCACAGCTGGGTTGGACAGGAACTGGATGAAGCACTGGTTGTCAGGCACTGTCCGCTTGCCCACCACGAACTGCCAGAACAAGATGGCAGGTGCCCAGAGCACGAAGGACAGGACCCAGGCAGCGGCAATCATGAGGCCTGCCATCTTGGTGGTACGGCGGGCAGGATAGGTGAGAGGCTTGGTGACGCAAAAGTAACGGTCAAAGCTGATAATGAGAAGGTTCATGACTGAGGCATTGCTCACCACGTAGTCCAGGGCTAGCCACAAGTCACAGACCACGGCGCCCAGAGGCCAGTAGCCCTTGATAATATACACGGTGTAGAGGTTCATAGAGAAAGCGCCTATGATGAGATCAGCACAGGCCAGGCTGAACAGGAAGTAGTTGTTAACTGTCTGCAGCTGCCTGTTGACCTTAATAGACAGCATCACCAGGATGTTGCCTACAACAGTTACCAGGCTCAGTGAGCCTGTCACAGTGGCAATGAATACCATCTCCACTGTCTCGTAGCGGTTGTGGGTTGATGTGACCAGACGCACGGATTGGTTGCCTGAGCTGCCATTGACCGGTGTGAAGTTGGCCATGTTGGTCAATGTGGTGGGCAACAGCTTCTGGAGGAGGAAGGAGAGAAAAGGGGTGAACTGTTGAAGAGCACAGAGGGGCGCTATGCAGGTAGACTGAGGTCAAGGTGACTGAGGAACATCATCTGACATGAGAAAACTCTATCTCATTTTCCCTTATTTGTTCATTCATTTGACGTTTATTGAGGGCCCACTATGTGCCAAGCACCACTATAGGTGCCAGGGCTGCAGAAGTGCATGAGAAACACATGGTCCCCATCTTGTGGAGAGATGTGCAAACACGTGCACAACAAAAAGAGCACTAGAAAGAAATAAGGCAGGGTGACGGCTGAATGAGTCAGAAGACAGGGCAGGAATGCCTCCTTGCTGTGTGATCAGGGAAGGAAGGCCTCATGCACCGGGTCATCTGGATGATAAGGAAATGGCCACAGGAAAATCTGCGGAGAGTGGTCCAGCCAAGAGCAATGGCAAGAGCAAAGGCCCTGAGGCACATGTAAGGCCTGAACAGAGTCCAGGAGGGGTGGAACCCAGGGAAGCCAAGGGAGGCAGAGGGGATGGGTGGTTCCAAAGGCCCCCAGCATATGGGCACTCAGGAGAGGTGGCCATCTATCTATTTATTCACTCTGTCATTTCTCTCTCTCTCTCTTTTTTCTTCCTTTTTTTTTTTTGCAGTTCTTGGCTGGGGCTGGGTTTGAACCCGCCCACCACCTTCAGCATGTGGGGCCAGTGCCCTACTCCTTTGAGCCACAGGCGCTGCCCCTACTCTGGCATTTCTCAACACATTCACAGGGGACTTGATCTCCAGTCCCTACAAAAGACTCTGGAGACAAAGGCCATGGTACCAGAGTATCTATTAGTAGCTAACATGTACCCCTATTAAGTGCCAGGTACTTGCGTCATTTTTTAATAGCATTAACCCATTTCATCCTCAAAACAAACTTATGAGGTAGATATTGCTATTTTTTTAAGTACTTATAAATAAGGAGACTTGAGGCATAGAGATGTTAAATAACCTGACTAAGGTTCCACAGCTTGACACCATGTTGTTGGTGGGGATAAGTTGGTGGGGAATGTGTCAGGAAAGCAGTAACCAGACAAGGGTTCTAGCAGGGAGAGGCCAAAGAACTACAGAGCCAGTTATCCATGATCCACCAGGGAGGCTTCCCAGAGGAGCAGAGGGGGTAGGCATGGAGCTGGCATCTCAAGGACAGGGAGGAAAGTGCCTTGCAGGAGTGGCTCAGGGAAGTAACCGCCACTCTGGCGGCCCTTTTCCTGAGCCCTCAGGTCCAGCCCCAGCATGGGACTGGAGGCATGGGGGGTACAGGGATAGCTGGGGACTATAGGTTCCTGGGGGATGAGACCCCTGAGGCCTGACTGGGAACCCACTGTGAAAGGGTTATCCCAGAGTGTAGTGAAAGGCTGCCTAGGAGCCTGTGGTCAGCCCCTGAGGTAGACCCTGCCTTCCCCAGCTGGGGTCCTAAGCACACAGCCCCTCCCCAAGCCTGCCCTCCCTCCCACCCAGGCTCTCCTCCAGCTCTCCTGCCCCTCTTCCTCTTCCCTACATGTGAGGGAGGCCCACGCCAGCGCTTGGTGCCAGGGCAGCCGCTCAGCTCAGCCTCCTTCACACCCGCCAACACACACCCCGCTCCACATACGCACACGGGCCCATCACAGCCACGCCAGCCCGGCAGGCATGGTCGCATACATACGCAGCACTGTGCGTCTGTGTGTGACAGAGAGGGCCCTGCAGCCCACGTGGAGGAAGAAGCACGAACCAGCAACCTGGGCTCTCATGCTGTGGCCTGACACAAGCCACATTACCTTCCTGCACCTCCTTCTCATTTGCAAAATAGGATTTTGTCCCAGGATAGCCTCCATAACAGCTACAGGGATCAATACCCCAACTCATCCCCACACCTAAACACGAAAATGTGCAGGAGGCTGGAGTCAAGTGCCAGGGTGACCCCCCAAGTCTAACTCCAGTCCCCCAACTCCACCATCTTAGACACAGACCCAGCTTGATAGTTCAAGTTCCCTTGTTTTAAATACTTGGTTCATAGTGGGAGAAGCTGAAACCAGGTGGTGCCACCTCCAAGGTCAAACAATGAGTCAAGGGCAAAGCCCAGACACCACCCTCTCTCAGGGTCTCTGACAACTCTTTTCAGCTCTGAGAGCCACTGAAGTGGAAGGCAGTATCACCCTCTGAGCTGGGATGACAGTAGCCCCCCAAATAGAGAAGCTAGCCTCCCCTACCTAGGACAC